GGGGGGGGCCGTGCCCCCCGGCTGTGTCGTCCCCCCCCCCCCCCAGGCCGGGCGGTTTTACTGTCTGTAATTAAAGATGTTAAAATAAATAAAGTTATTATTGTAAAGCGGGGGAGGAGCCGCCTCAATTTGGGGGGGGGGCACTGAGGGGGGGGGATTCCCAAACATGGGGCAGCTTCTAGATCTTTCTCACAGAAACCACCCCTATGGCCCCCTGCCACCAAAACCTTGCCAATTAAACCCACGACACCGAGAAAATCAACAAATTCCGGTCCCATTGAGATTGGAAATACGAAATTCAATGAAATCTTTATTATTATTATTATATTTATTATTATTATTATCATATTATTATTAATAATAATATAATTATTATTTATTATTTATTATTTTTTATTTATTTTATTTATTATTATTATTATCTATTATCATTATATTATTATCTAAATTTGGAAACCCAAATTTGGAAGCCCTTTGCTATGGGCTGACTTCACTCACACGGTCAGGAACCAAATCTCAGCTGCTGCATTTTCTGGCCTGTGTGAAGCTGACCCCGAACGTCAGCCCTCAGACACTTGCAAAATGCGTCCAGCAACCCCAGGGAGAACAAAGATGTCCTTTGAAGGGGACCTCCAGGAAGAGCTCTCCTAGAAAAATAAATGACCAAGATCTCTGGAAGAGCAGGATTTTCCTCCAAAACGACGGCCTCTTCTCTGGATCAATGGAGCCAGCTGAAAAAGTGGGGTTAGAAAACCCAGGAAAGGAAGTTTTTTCAGGAGGTAAAGACTTCGTGGCTGGGTTATAAAACCGTGCTCCGTCTCCTATAGTTGCTGTCGTGTACAGCCAAGTGTTTCCCTCTCTCCATCCATGAGATTGCCCAAGAGCTACCGGTGCTCACCTCCCAAGCAGAGATCTTGAGGACTTTTTATTTCTAGGGTTGGTCACCGTGTAACGGGCAGGCTTCCTCCAAAGCTTTGCGTGTCACGTTGCGACTTTTCTCGTTTTAACCTCCCAGAATTGCGTCTCCACAGAGCAAAGAGCCTTTTTGGGGTCAACGTTTCCCCCAAGGGAAATACTCAGCTTTCCATTCCAAGCATTCCTCACAGGTTGCCCAGCGAGGTTGTGAAGTCTTGCATTGTCTGGATTTAACCTGGCACAACTGCAGCTGCTTGTCATAGAGAGCCCTTTTTGTGCCAGCATTCCCCCCCCACAGAGGATATTCTTGTATGTAATCCTGTAGCTTCGGTGTTTTTCTTTTAAGCCATTAGACCTTCATTTTTTTTTTCTTTGTGGGTCTAGAATCAGAACACGCAGCAAATAGGAGGTGGAGTGGAGAATGGCAGGCAGGGTGCCACAACCCCGGCAGGTACCTGGGAACTTCGGGTGGCCTTTGGTGGGGTGCTTTACAAAGGGCACTGTGAAAATCGGGCACCAGCAACAGCAACTTGAGTCCATGTTCGGTCAGAAAAAAAAAAAAAGAAAGGATTGCATAAGGAAGACGCACCTGCAAAAATGATTCAAGCTAGAGGTGGTGAAGGAACAGCATTTCACCCACACAGCAAGAACCCAACAGCTTGCAGAAGGAAAAACTTCTCCTTTCTGTTCATCAAAATCAAACCAGCCAAGTCCTTCCCTTGTTTAATGTCTTCCTGCATCGAGTCCTAGTTAAGGGTTTCAATAATGCAGCTGTTGGATGCTGCTTCTCAACCAGGTATTTAATGCCATTTCATCCACAGAATTGCAGAATCCTAAAGGACCCTAAAGATAATTTAACTCCAACCCCCCTGCCACAGACAGGGACATCTCCCATTCGATCAGGCTGCCCAAAGTCCCACCCAGCCTGGCCTTGAACACCTCCAGGGATGGGGCATCCACAGCTTCTCTGGCAACCTGGTCCAGTGCCATCTACCAGACTAACTTCTTACCGGGGGAATAAGCAAACAGTCCTAAGCAAATAAATGAATCAATAAAATCTTTTATAGAGCAAATCATTCCCGAATCAAGATTTAAGCGTTACCCATTTGTAAATGTGACAAAATCTTGCAACGCTTCTGTACTGAGTCTGTCTGGGAAGGACTTCTTTGTCTTCACAGCAGCTTCTATGGTGCTGTGTGTCCTTCTTCTTCCACTTTTCCTTTGCTTAAGAATTTTTATCTCAACGCACAACTTTGGTTGCTTTCCTTCTCTCCTCAGTGCCACGGGATGTGGTTGTGTGGTGCTTAGCTGCCTACCGGGGCTAACCAACAGCGTCACAGTCCAGTGTTGCTCTTGCTGACCCAGCCGGAGGCTGCTCAGGAAGAACCGCTTGCTCCCTGCATGCTGCGATGATAAATATTTCCCCAGCTCTTTGTATCACCCCTAAAAAAGACTGGCACCCCACATGTGCATTCGGCATGCTCGTTCCCATTATATATTTTTGACAGAGGAAGATATTTGCAGAGGGACTGTCCATGAGCAGTGGCCCAGATCTTGTTCTACGCTGCTGTCCCTTCTTTGGGGAATCCATTTCTTGTGGTTCCAGGGGAAGGACTGGAGCTCAGCCCAGCTCCTACAGCTCCCTCTCAGCTCTGTCCTGCAGGTTTGGGCAGTGGGGGGGTTCACAGAGCAATGCTGTCATTTGTCCATGAAGTCTACGGTAAAGGTGGCGTAGTGATGAATGCACCTTCCAAGGACCACTCGCTGGAATGGAGCTGGTCTTAACGAGATAGGATTTAGTAGCTTAGTGGGTAGTATTGGTGATAGGAAGACGGTTGGACTAGGTGATCTTGATCTTGAAAGGTTGTCCTTTCCAACCCTATGTTTCTACGATTCTACGATTCTGTGACAACCTTGGAGAAGTTGTCAGGATGTCCTATTCCTAGCAGGGCACTGGATAACTAAACCCAGTCCCAGAGAGCTTGAGTAGATATTCTCGCCGATACTGGAGGTATTTGTGATCACAGAATCACAGAATCACAGAATTCTAGGTTGGAAGAGACCTCAAGATCGTTGAGTCCAACCTCTGACCTAACGCTAACAGTCCCCACTAAACCATATCAATATCCCTAAGCTCTACAAATCTGGCTAATATTCCTCCCTGGGTAACATGCTGATTGCCATGGCATTCTCCCTGTCCAGAGGCTTGTTCTGTGCACATGGTCTGTTTATGAGCTGGTCGCCCACACGCCCTACACAGTCAGCACAGGGACATGAGGTCCTCCGCATCCTACCCTGCTGTGGAACGAAGGGAGGTGTGCCCATGGTCCCCTGCCGAGGCCTTCCCACCTGGCTGAGGACCTGGGGATCTAGCCCAGGTGGAGATACTTCCAGGCAAGACTTCTGGAGTTAGGTGCGCTGAATCCTAACCTTATGGCAGGAGAGGGAAACTGAAGAGGCCTGATTCGCCTGCCCATCCATGGATTTCCACTGTAGTACTGAGTCGCCCAGACAAACAGCTGTGAGAACCCCCCCTTGTGATTTGGGTCTCTTTTGCGTTTTTCAGAAGTAGTCCTAAAACGAAGTATTAAATGACCTCAGACACAAGGAGTGGCCCTGTGCCACCCCAGAGAGACCCGGGCCTTGCAGGCAGAGTGCCTGGTGCTCTGTGTGATGAGGGGTTGGGGAGACGGCAAGAGATGGGGGACGGCACCTCCGAGCTGGGCTATTTGAGCACAGTCCTGTGCTTCTTTCTGAGGAGAGCTCCAGACCCTCTTCCCATGCAGATGTTTAACTGCTGCTTAAAAATCCAGGGCTGCACTGCACTGACCTCTGTTTGGCTACGTGTTGGGATTCCTGACAACGTGGCCTCCTGTGGGATGCTTCCCCTCAGGAGGCACGAAGGAGGGAGCCGAGTCTCCACCTCCCCAGCCTGTTTCTTCAAGCCCCAGTGCCAGGCTTGCAGTGGGGAAGAGGGACAGGGGCTGAGCTCCTACTCCTCCCTCCATTCCTGCACCAAGAGAGAAGGAGATCTGCAGCCCCCGCTGCCAGCCTGGCACCTGCGCTGCCTGCAGGTAAGAGCCAAGCAGAATCCTGCCCTGGATAACGGTGCTCAATCCACCGGGGGTGCCCACAAGCTAAGACCCTCTGTAAAGCCATGATTGTGGCTGAGCACAGAGAGAAGGGGCACACGGGGTCATCACGGGGCTGACAGGCTGCAGTGTGGTGCAGTGCATCCGTCCTTCCTGGGAGAGTGAGTGCTCATCACCTCCTCATCGGTGTGCAAGGGAGATGCTTGCCTGGGCAGGCGGCAGAGTCCTGCTGAAGGTCAGTGAACACCTCTTCCTCCTGCAGCCGGCGGGTCAAAAGCAGCAGGAGGAGACATTGACTTGGAGGAAGTTTTAAAGGTATTTTCCTCACCCTTTCTTGCTGCGTCTTGTCTGATCCGGGATTGCACTGACTTGTGGTTAACGACGCATTAAAAACTCAAGCAGTGCAAAATGTCCAGCGAACGGGACAGAGCTGGGAGCCGACAGTGCAGGTGCGGTCCTGTGTTAAAGCCTGGGTCAGACCTTGTTTGAAGAAGCCAGGGTAATATCCCACTGTTCTCACTGAGATCAAGACCACCCCACACATGCCATCCGTGTTAGGGGGGCACCTTGAAACAACACAGCTCTAGGAAGGTATCCCTACAGTTCCAAGGCCATCACATCAAATGGCATCTCCCCCAATTTCCAGCACCACCAATGTCTCTAGGCATCCCCGGAGCTGCACCTCCTGGAGCACGAGCACCCCTGGAGCAGTACGGGTCACACCCTCTGAAGGTAAAAGACTGATGTGATCAGACATCGCAAGAAATGTCTGTCCCCATCTAGGAGAAAAAGACACATACGTGAATGGTGGACATCCAGAGGCAGGTGAGACAAGTTTCCCCTTAAGATACAGCTCGGTTGACTCTCCTAGAGTCCTGTGGGAGTGCTGAACGATGCTGCTCTTCCCTTAACCATGCCCAGATCTGCTAATGAGATGAAAGACGCTTTCATTACAGCTCAGGATAAATCAGGCGACTACCCTTGTCCTCTCCATCAAGACCCATGGTTAGCTACAAGTGGGTGCAGATCCTAGGAGAGAACAAGGTCAAAACATCTCGGGAGAGAGCGGGAGGGAGGGTGAGCTGTCTGCCTGAGGTGTCTGCAGGTAGGTTCATCCCTCTCAGTCCATGCAAAGCCCTTGGAGCTGCAGCCCATGGTGGCCAGGGTTCAATTCTGCTCCTCCCTGGATGAATGCCAGTAAGAAATCCTCACTTCTCCCTTGTGTGCAGTGTGCCCTAAGCCTGCTGAGGAACTAATGCCACTTCTGTTCTCTTCTTTCTTTTCCAGCTGCAATCAGTGCTGCTGCACACCGATAGGCCAGTGTACTCCTTTAGCTAATGCAGCACAACCCTTGAAGGCAAGCAGCAGTGGAGAACAAAAAGGCATGCTGTGCTCGGCATAGGACTGAGAGTGCAGAGAGAAAGGGGAATGCTCAAAATCTTCACCACTGCCGTCCTCACACCAAGATACAGCTGCTGCTGTTAAAATATTGCTCTTCTTGTGCTCTTCTCAGACAAAGCACAAATGAGAAGGGAGAATCAAACCGTTCCACCAGGGTTTGTTTTTATTGGGTTTTCCTACTTTCCTAAACTCCAGGCTGTGCTGTTTGTGCTGTTTCTCCTCATGCACGTGGTGACCCTAGTTGGAAATATTATGATAATGTTTGTTATCAGGCTGAATCAGCAGCTGCACATGCCCATGTATTTTTTCCTAAGTGCTCTGTCCTTCTCAGAAATCTGTTATACCTTCTCCATCATCCCAAAGATGCTGTCCGGATTAGTGCTGGGAACTAGAACCATTTCTTTCCTGGGCTGCGCTGCACAGATGCATTTCTCCTTCATGTTTGGATTCACGCACTCTTTCCTCCTGACGGTGATGGGATATGACCGGTACGTGGCGATCTGTCAGCCCTTGCATTACAGCACCGTGATGACCTCCCGAGCCTGCACCCAGCTGGTGGCTGCCTCATGGGCAGGGGGTGGTCTCCTGGGGCTGCTGGTGACCAGCGCTGTGTTCCAGTTACCGTTCTGCCAGTCCCACCGCATTGACCACTTCTTCTGCCATGTGCCCCCCATACTCCAGCTGGCTTGTGCTGGTGGCGAGGTGGTTGGCACTGTAGTTGGCATCTTTTGCATTACTGCCTTGTTGGGATGCTTTCTGTTCATCCTTCTCTCCTACGCCTTTATCCTTGGCTGGATCCTGCAGATGCCATCAGCCAAGGGGAGGCACAAAGCTTTCTCCGCCTGTGCCTCCCACATCACCGTAGTGGTGGTGCACTATGGCTGTGCCTCTGTCATCTATTTGAAACACCAGTCACCCCGTGGTGCAGGGCTAGTGTTCTGATTGATGTCCCTATTGCTTATCAGGGGGAGCAGCCCCCCTCCGGGGGGGGAGGGAGGAGATCCCAGCAGCCCCCCCCCCCCCCCAAGTGCCACCCCCCCCTCCCCAGAGCAGCCCCCAAACTGGGAGCACTGGGAGGAGGTGGGGGGGGGGAGGGGAGGAATAAATACAATCTTCCAATATATTAAAAACGCCCTGGGGGGGGGGGGAGGAGGAGGTGCGGTGGGGGCGGGGGGGGTGAGGGGGGGGCACCCCTGGGTGCCGCGGGGGAGTCACATCATGCCCAGCTGCAGCAGGGTGTTGGCGTACATCATGGGCTTGACATTGGGGTGAGGCTGGGGGGGGGAAAAAGGAGAAAAAATGGGGTTGGGGGGCCCAGAGGGGGCACCCCTGAAACTACCCCCCCTTCCCCAAATCCCACCCCCTCCTTGCACCCCCCAAAGTCACCCCCAAGCCCCGACTTCCCCCAAAGCCCCCCCCCATAGCCCCCCACACCCCCCCGAACCCCCCCCCATAGCTCCCTCTAGACCCCCCCACAGCCCCTCAAAGCCCCCCCCATGCCCACAAACCCTCCTGTGCCCCCATCGCCCCCCCCCCCCCGTTTGCCCCATAGCCTGCTAACGACCCCCACGAGCATCCCCTCCCACCCCTCCCCCAAAAAAAAATCACCCCAAGCTGGGAAAAGGAGGGAGAGGGGGGCTGGAAATTTTGGAGGGGGCTGGGGGGATTTTGGGGGAATTTTGGTTACCCGGGGGGGGTGTCTCAGATTTGGGGCCCCCCCCAAAACTCACCACTGCTGTGAACTGGTGGAAGTCGGGGCGCAGGTCGCCGCCTCGCAGGTGGATGTAGGAGCCCATATTGCCCATCTGGTCACTGGGGGCGGGGGGACACAGAAATTGGGGGACACCGAGAGGACCCCGCAGAGGGGGGGCAGCGAGGCCGAGCGGTGCTGGGGGTGGGTGGGGGCACGAAACCCACCCAATCCCCCAAAAAATAGGAACACGAGGACACGGGATGGGGACTCCGCCACCCCCCTGGGCAGCCCATCCCAATCCTAATATCCGTAATCCAGGGTCCTAATATCCAAAATCCGGGGTCCTAATATCCAAAATCTGGGGATCCTAACATCCATAATCTGGAGGTCCTAATATCCATAATCTGAGGGTCCTAAAATCCATAATCCGGGGGTCCTAATGTCCATAATGTGGGGTCTTAATATCCGTAATCTGGGGGTCCTAATATCCATAATCGGGGGGTCCTAATATCCATAATCGGGGGGTTCATAACATTCATAATCTGCGGTCCTAATATCTGTAATCTGGGGGTCCTAACATCCATAATCCGGGGTCCTAACATCCACAATTTGGGGTCCTAATATCCATAATCCGGGGTCCTAACATCCACAATTTGGGGTCCTAATATCCATAATCCGGGGTCCTAATATCCATAATCCGGGGGTCCTAACATCCATAATCCGTTTTTTAACCCAATTAAGAAGTCCCAGCCGAGAGCAGCCCCTTTTTTGAGGACAAAACTGCGGGAAACGGTGCCAAAACCCTTCCCGAAACCAAGGACTCCACGCCCGCAGCCTTTCCCTCACCCACCCAGCCCCTCGCTATCCCAGGAGGAGCTCGGGGGTCTCCGCGGGTCCCCCCGGAGCTGGAGGGGGGGGTGGCACTGCCCCCCCAGTGCCACTCACCAGTAGTTGGGCGCGGAGAAGACGGTGACACACTTGCCATCGTGGGCCACCTCGTAGCCCTCGGGCTTGACCTCGTGGCTCCGGATGATGTAGTCGAGGCGGTTGCGCTCCAAAAAACTTTTGGTGACGTCCGGCCCGAATTGGCAGCTCACCCCCCTCTTGCTGACCGAGCGCCCGTTCTGGAAAAAGGGGGGGGGGACGTCACCGTCACGCAACCCCCCCCCCAACAAGGGTTATTTTGGGGGGACCGAGCCCCGAGGTTGTAGGGTGGGGATCGACTCACCTGCGGCTGCGGGTCCGACCACAGCAGGTCGCACATGGGACCTGCAGGGGGGTGTAGGGTTAGGGACCCCCCCCCCAAAACCCCACAGCGGGTGGGGGGGGGGGGACGACACAGGGGACACCCCCCCGCTAAGCCCCGAGTCCCACCTGAGTCTGGGGGCTGCCGGTTCCTCTCGATTTTGCGGATGTCGTCGAGGGTGACGCCGTCCTCGCTGAAGAGGCCGCCGTGCATGATCTGGGGGGGGGGGGGCAGGCAGGTGGGCACAGGGACACCCCCAGACCCAAATGGGGACAGCCCCCCCCCCGAACCCACACAGGGACACCCCCAGCCCACACGGGGACAGCCCCCTGGATCCAAACGGGGATGACCCAAATGGGGACAGCCCCCAGACCCACGTGGGGATGCCCCCCAGACCCAAACTGGGATGCCCCCACCCCACACAGGGACAGCCCCCACGGACCCACATGGGGACACCCCCAACCCAAACAGGGACAACCCCCCAGACCCAAATTGGGACACACCTGACCAACAAAAGGGAGGCCCCCGCCCACATGGGGACGGCCAACAGCCCCCGACCCAAACAGGGACACCCCCAACCCAAACGGGGACAACCCAAACAGGGACACCCCCCAGGACCCTGACCCCAACAGGGACATCCCCCAGACCCACATGGGAACAGCCCCCCAGACCCAAACTGGGAAACACCAGACCAACACAGGGGAGGCCCCCAACCCACACAGGGACAGCCCCCCCAGACCCCGACCCCAACAGGGACAACCCCAGACCCACATAGGAACAGCCCCCCCAGCCCCAAATGGGGACAGACCCCCCAAGACCCTACACGGGGACACCCAATGCCCCCCCGCCCACACAGGAACAGCCCCCAGGACCCAAATGGGGACAACCCCCAGACCCCAAATGGGGACAGTCTCCCCCAGGACCCTACACGGGGACACCCAATGCCCCCCACCCACACGGGGACAGCCCCCTGGACCCAAATGGGGACAACCCCTGGACCCCAAATGGGGACAGTTTCCCCAGTATTCCACATGGGGACACCCAATGCCCCCCACCCACACAGGGACAGCCCCCCAGACCCAAATGGGGATGACCCCAGGACCCCACACAGGGACACCCAATGCCCCCCCACCCACACGGGAACAGCCCCCTGGACCCAAATGGGAACAGCCCCCCCCCAGGACCTTACACGGGGACACCCAATGCCCCCCACCCACACGGGAACAGCCCCCAGGACCCAAATGGGGACGACCCCCGGGCCCCAAATGGGGACAGCCCCCCAGGACCCCAGACGGGGACACCCAATGTCCCCCCACCCACACGGGAACAACCCCCCAGACCCAAATGGGGACGACCCCCAGACCCCAAATGAGTACAGACCCCCCAGGACCCTACACGGGGACACCCAATGCCCCCCACCCAAACGGGAACAGCCCCCCAGACCCAAATGGGGATGACCCCAGGACCCCAAATGGGGACAGCCCCCCCAGGACCCCACATGGGGACACCCAAGGCCCCCCCACCCACACAGGGACAGCCCCCTGGACCCAAATGGGAACAACCCCTGGACCCCAAATGGAGACAGTTTCCCCAGTATTCCACATGGGGACACCCAATGCCCCCCACCCACACAGAGACAGCCCCCCAGACCCAAATGGGGATGACCCCCGGGCCCCAAATGGGGACAGCCCCCCCAGACCCTGACCCCAACAGGGACAACCCCAGACCCACATAGAAACAGCCCCCCCAGCCCCAAATGTGGACAGCCCCCCTAGGACCCTACACGGGGACACCCAATGCCCCCCCACCCACCCGGGGACAGCCCCCCCAGCCCCCCCCGGGGTGACCCACCAGCACTTTGCCGTTGATGCACTGGGCCAGGGGCAGCCACTCGAAGACCTCGCTGAAGAGGGCGAACATCTGCGCCGTGTACTTGGCCTTCACCTCCCCTTCGAAGCCGTAGATCTGGTTCATGTTGTCTGTCTCGTGGTTCCCTGGGGGGACACGAAGCGGGGGGGCCCCCAAAATCAGCCCCGAGGACTGGGGACACGCCAGGCAGCCGGGACAGGGGGCAAGGCGCTGAGGATGTGGGATGGGGGAGCCAGGGGGAGCGAGGCCTCTCGGTGGAGGACGGGGACGTGGGGCAAGGACGAGGCACCGGTGACATCGGCTCAGGGAATCCTGGGGATGGGGCAGCCCCAGGATGACCCCAAAAGGGACACGGGGCATGGCGCTGCGGCAGGGGACGTGTGGCAGCCCTACAACCAAGGACAGGGGACGAGGCCCCAAAACATGGCCCCGAAACCCAGGACAAGGGGCAAGTCCCCAAAACCCAGCCCCACAACCAAGGACGGGGAACGAGTCCCCAAAACCTGGCCCCACAACCCAGGACAAGGGGCAAGTCCCCAAAACCAAGGATGGGAGATGAGTCCCCAAAACCCAGGAGAGGCGATGAGTTCCCAAAACCCAACACCACAACCAAGGACGGGGAACGAGTCCCCAGAACCTGGCCCCAAAACCCAGGACAAGGGGCAAGTCCCCAAAACCCAGCCCCACAACCAAGGATGGGGAACGAGTCCCCAAAACCTGGCCCCAAAACCCAGGACAAGGGGCAAGTCCCCAAAACCCAGCCCCACAACCAAGGATGGGGAACGAGTCCCCAGAACCTGGCCCCAAAACCCAGGACAAGGGGCAAGTCCCCAACACCCAGCCCCACAACCAAGGACAGGGAACGAGTCCCCAAAACCCAGGACAGGCGACGAGTCCCCAAAACCCATCGCTGCAGCCAAGAGCGGGGCACACAGCCTTGTGGCCCCAGGCATGGGACCCAATCCCAGGATGTGGGGACAAAACCCCACAGCCAGGGCTGCTCAACGTAACCCCACAACCTGCCCCATTACACCCAGCACCCGCGGTGGCCCCGTTACCTCGCAGCAAGTGGAAGTGATCGGGGTAGAGCAGCTTGAAACCGAAAAGCGTGAGGATGACCTCGACCGAGAAGGA